TATTTCAAATTCTTCTTCAAAAATGACCTATAATGTCTTGCATCCAAACATGGCTTTCCACTTGGAATTTGTTCTTGACCAGAAAATATGGCATGAAGTAGATCTCTTGAATGACATTTTGAAACTTGAATCATTCAAAATCTCCAAAATTTGAGAGAGTTATGAATTGTTGAAGTTGGCAAAAAATCATGAAATGACCTATAATCTTTTGTATCCTTAAGGAAACTTCCATCTATTTTCTTACTTTGCACATAAAAGAAAGCATAAAATTCACATATTCAAGATCATTATGGAAAAATAATGGACTCGAGGTGATAAAAATTGACCAAGTTATGACCATTTGAAGTCACACATTGAAAATTGGGGATTCATCTGGAGGACTTGTAATCTTTCTTCCTCATCAAGTCTCTTCCTCATGAAAACTCCTTGGAACTTTCGAAGTGATTTGTTAATAACCCTTTCAAGAGAAGGATGTCTTTGGAATCACTCAAAAATAACAAAAGATGAGCAAGATATATTCCTTTGAAATTCAAAACCCTAGCTCTTAGATCAAGAAAAATGCCTTGAGGAACTTTGACAAGCTTGAACAAACTTCTTGTACCAACATTATTTCTTTGTGAATAGAATTTGTTGAGGATGATAGTGAGAACTCATAGCCACCAAAACCACTTTCATATCTTGAAAATTGAGAGAAATATGCTCTTGTGACCAATAGGAATAAGGCCTTGTCCAAACATGACAACTTCTCCAATCAAACCCCTTGTACTTTTCAACCAAATTTGATAATCTTGGAATATGGTGAACCAAAATAACCTTGCCATGCCATTTCTTCCAAAACAAATACAATGGTGAGGTTTTAACTTCTCAAGCTTTATTGACTAGGGCATGGAAATAAACTCATGAACCCATGGGGCAACTTGTTAAATATCATCGCCTTTACCTACATGGATAACAAGAAAGACAAACCAACATTTCATTTTATTAATTAAAAGAAGAAATCAAGATAAAAAAAATAATCATGATCACAAAAGAACACAAGTCAAGATGCTTGGTGATTCCTCAAAGTGCAAAGCTAAATATAGGGAGGGGAACCAAGAATCCTAGTGTGATCTTATTGTGAATGAATCAACATAGTATGATGAAGGGATCTTAGGGGCAAAATTTGGGGTACAATAGGAAGTATGAGTGGAATGTGATTCAAAGTTATTGTAGTGTCATCGTGGGAAAATATGATGGAGCTAATTGAAAAATCTGCATGTATTGGTCACATACTTTACGAAGCCAAATCATGCCTAAAACAACGTTTACACCCTCGATTGGCAAGAAGTAAAAGGGTAGGGTGAATGGTTGGTCTTGCAAGGTAATTTTGACATTGTTACAAATGCCTTGACATTATAGATGAGATTCATTACCAACCATAACTGAAAATTGGAGAATTTGTGTAGCAATTAGACTTAATTTTATGTAATTCGTGGTTGCAAAAAATTGTATGTGCTACATATGTCAATAAGAACCATCACATAAATTTTACCAACCAACCCCTTCAATTTGAGTGTTGGGATAAAAATTTGTAAATTAAAGCTTGTGGTAAGATTTGGAAATTAGTTTTGGTAGGGTCTACCTCTAAGACTTATTTTGTGCTACTTAGAACTTCCACCTCTTCTGCAGGTTATGTCTCAACCTTAACCAAACTTAGTAACAAACGACTAGAAAACTTATATCTTGGAACAAATTTTTTATCACAATTATATCAAATACCTTGTGCACATGTCTCTTGTAATTGAGCTTATGAGAGGATTCATATGAATAATTTAGATGGTAGGGATGTGGATGAGAGCTTAGGTGTAGAAGTGAAATGTTGGAAATTTGAGCTTTAGGATTTGTGAACGGATGTGTTTTGTAAGATGAGAATTATTCGGTTGAAGGAATTGGAGAATTTCTTTTTGAACTTGGGTTTGTCATCGTCTAATTTGGCTTTAATGAGCTTATCAAATTCATTTTCTTGAGAGATAGAAATTGGTATTTGAATATTAATTTTATTTCTTATTTCAAGTATTAGACCAAAAACAAAATGATTAAGAATATCTTCTTCAGGTAATCCCAAAACTCAATTTCCCAATTTCTAAAATTGTGTTTGCTAATCAATGGCTAAACTGTCTTGCTAGATGGGCCAAATTGCAGTTCTAATGCTTTTACGAACGAGAACCAAACCAATAATTAATAGTTATGGTGCATGCATTTATACCAACTCAGAGCATATCCTTCATATAAACTCAGCTAATGGTGAACGACTTTTAGACAATAACTAGTAGAAGTTAAAAAGTTGTCCTACTCGAAATAACCATTCAAATGGTCCAGACCATAAAAAAAATAAATTCTAATTTTAGTGTTCAAGGGGGGATTATAAGTGGGTGTGTTTGAAAAGGTAGTTTATGGGGATACATGTAAGTGAGTTCCATAAATGATGGTCGGAAAAATGGAGATGGTGGTGGTTATGCTACATTATTTCTCATAACAATAAAATTAGGTTGGTTGTAGTGATTTAAAAGTAATGGTGCAGAAAATATAATAGTATGGTTAGGGATCAGACTAGCATGGATAAAATTAGGGTATTTGGAAAAATAATGGGTGTAGTAAAAAGTCTATAACCAGAGGAAATCGAGTGTTGGTAGGTAAATCAAAAGATGTTGTTTTGTGAATAGTGATTGGTTGTTGTTGCAGTCTAATCTGACTCGTCAAATTTATGAGAAGGGATATAATGAATCACGTCTAGCATCTCAAACTTGATGTTGATTATTCATCTTGATATGCATGAATCCCAATTAATTTTCTAAAATTTGACTTGCTTCATGAATCTCTCATGCATTTGATTATGAGTACGTTGATTGCATCTTCAATATGTTTATGAACGGTTTGTATAACATCATACAAGGCCTTAGAGAATAAATTTGAAAGTTTATAAATAATTTATTCAAGGATGAGAGCACCATAATAGATTATAGATAAAAACAAAAATAGATATAGGTTTCAAAGAGAATTAAACATTGCTAACTAAGGTTTACTAATACTAATGAGCCATTGGCTTCTTTTGATAACCATCTCTAATGAAATAGAGCCTTAATTATAATTTTGGTTTTCTTATTTTATCTTATTCAAAAAAATTAGTCTCTCTATTTCATATTCAAACAAATTGTGTCTCCTTCTCATATTTTTTTTCATTGAAAATTGATGCTATGTCCAATTTTTAATGACATGTAAATAATATTTTTAATCTTTAAAATTTTACAAAAAGTTTTTTCGCCTTCTCATATTTTTATAAAGAAAAAATTGATGATGTGTTCATTTTTTTTAATGACATTTAGCTTATATAATAATTTGTCACAAATAATATATCGTTTAAAAATAAATACATTATTAATTTAAAGTAAGAGTGTCAAAACGAGTCAAATCAAAGGGACATGATCATTTTGCCTAAGACTCGCACAGTTTATTTTAGTTGTCATGTACGGTCTCATTTTTTGCAGATATATGTATTAACATGGTTTTTTTAAACACTTTTAGGCTTTAGATGTGTAGCGTGCGTTAAGTCCACCCCCTCTCTCATTTTATTTTGTGGAAAAGACTAAACTTTTAGATCCACACTCTTTATTATGTCCACTCATTCCGTTTTTTACAAACATTTACATGACAGACATTGTTAGAGAGAGAAGACAACATTGTTTGAATTTAAAAGATAATATTAATTTCGTGAATGAATTAAAATAAGAGAATTATAATTATAATTAAATTTAAAATAAAATTAAAAATCCTTTTTATTAGTGCATAGTAAAATTATAATTAAATTTAAAATAAAATTAAAAATTAACAATCCTTTTAATTAATGCATAGTAAAATATTTTTGCTAATTAGAATAATGATGTAAACTAATAAAATATAAATATTAATAAAAAATATAATTATTTATTTATTTATAATATAAAGAGACAAATAATAGTAGGAAATAAGTAAATTTTACAAATGAAATAGGTAGTAACCACTCGACTAACTACTATATTAGTATTAAGAATATTTTAAAAACTTAAATTTATTTTATCAATAAAATTAGTTAATAGTAATTTTTAAAAAGCCAATGAAATTTATATTAAAATTATTAGCAATTTTTAAGGGATCAAAATATCTACTTTGCTGTATGTTATTAATTGTCCACTTTTTTTTCTGACTCAGTCTCAAATGTCGGCTACTATCATTTTAAAATAAATTAATTTCACAATTATAATTTAAAGTAATTTGTTTTTTAATAAAAAATATTGAAAGTAATCCTATTCAAAATGTTTATTAAGATTTTTAAACAACAGTTCTTTAAATTTTGTTGTACGAGTGTAACTCGCTTTTCAATATTCAATTGTTTAGTTGATATTCTTTTTCCATTCATTCAAGTTAATTAATATAAACTTATTTCCTATTTTTTTATAAGATAGAAATTTATCTTTGAACTATAAGTTTTGTAATAAAATTAATTTGAAATAATTATTACACATAAATGCTTTAAAAATTTAAATTTATGTCAAATAATTAAAGACTTATAGTAAACCAAAATCGTTTTATAAAATCATAAATTATTTCATCAGATCACTATCATTTTTTGGAACGATTAAAAAATTTAATAAGAGTAACCGACTTCCTAAATTTCTAATAAATCATAAATTAAATTCCCTAACGGATGTTTTTTTATATTTAGTAATAAAATTGACTCTCTTATCTTATCCTTATTGAATAGTTTTGAATTAAATAAACATTATACTAAATGTAATAACAAAATATCTCATCCTCATAATAATGATAAAATATTTTATTGTTTTCTATAACAATAACGTGAGATAAAAGAATAAACATTTTTCTGGTGAATGAATGAAAAAGAGAGACACTATTTAAGAAACAATCTCTTACAAATAATTGACAGTTGAATGTTCCAGACAAAATTTTCTCACAAAAATTCAATCATGGCACCATTCATTCATCCTCAGCTCCAATCTCTTGTGGCCAAAATGACTCTCTTTGACACCATACTCTTCTATGTCAGTATCTCAAAAACCTCTCTCTGGTCTATGCTATTTATAATCTTGATCATATACATTTTTATACTTTGTATATTGTATCTCTGCTATTTCTGTATAATTTTGGTTATATATATTGTTATATTTCGTATACTGTATGTCTGTTATTTCTGTATAATTTTGATGATATATATATCTCTGCTATGGTATAGTTTATAGACTATATAGAGGTTAAATATAGTGATTGATTTTTTATTTTTGTAATGATGATGTTGAATTTATGAATAGGTGATACATTTTGTGGACAAGGTTTTGTTATGGCATAGGCTTCCAGTGTTGTTGGGGTTAGCATATTTGGGAATTAGAAGACGTTTACACTATCGTTACAATCTGTTACATGTTGGAGGAGAGAATGGTGTTAACTATGATAAGCAACACTATTCGTATCGGACTGCGGCGGGTACTTGTAATCACCCCGAGGATCATTTGGTTGGTAGTCAGGGAACTTGTTTCGGACGGAATATGCCTCCAACCGCGTTAAACTATGGGGTAATTGAGAGATAGTCGAGTTAATCGTTGTATTTTTTAAGTTTGTTTGCTAATTTGTTGATTATGGATATTGTATGTATATGTGTGTGTGCAGCTGCTTGATCCTCATCCTGCTCTGGTGGCATCGAAGCTTCTAGCAAGGAAGAGTTTCGTAGATTCGGGGGATCAATTCAATATGATAGCTTGTTCGTGGATACAGTTCATGATTCATGATTGGATTGATCATTTGGAGGACACTGAACAGGTCTAATATTTTTAGCACTTTTTTTGCAATTTTTAGTATATATTTTGGATCAGAGTTTTTGAAGACTCTATGTAGATTAGCCGCAATTCAATCATAACAAAACAATTAGAGGTCATAATTAAATATGATTTAATAATAACAAATATTTTATGAGGTTCTATGGTTTAATCATGCAAATTTTTTAGCAATGTGCGGTGGCCCACTTTATACGTCCTCAAAAATGGTTCTGCTTTGAATTTTGGCATAATTTGTTGCAATTTTTTGGAATAGGTGGAACTTAGTGTTCCTGATGAAGGTTTTGCAAGTGGTTGTCCTTTGAAGACTTTCAAGTTTTTCAAGACTAAGAAATTCCAAACTGGCTCTTCGCATACCAAGTTTGGCTTTCAAAACACCAGGACTCCGTGGTGGTAAGTAGAATATCTCGACACTCAATCTAATATCATAAGAGTTTAATTCGTAAGCATTCTCTGTGTAAAACAATTTTATGCGTATTTTTGGTGATTGAATTATTAGGGATGGAAGTGTGATATATGGGAACAATGAGAAGGGAATGAGTAGAGTGAGAATATTTAGAGAGGGAAAGTTGAAGATATCAGAAGATGGACTTCTTGAGCATGATGAGAAGGGTATTCCTGTGTCGGGCGATGTTCGAAACACATGGGCGGGTTATTCCCTTCTACAGGCTTTGTTTATCAAAGAGCACAATGCAGTATGTGACATGCTAAAAGTAAGGCAAATTATTTTCATCTGTTGCATGACTTGGCTCCATTTGCGGTCATTTTTTGCATCGAAAAATAATGCAATCGATATTGTTTTTCTTTTCTTACAGAAACACTATCCCGATTTTGATGATGAGCAACTCTATAGGTATGCAAGATTGGTGACTTCAGCAGTCATTGCGAAAATACATACAATTGATTGGACTGTAGAGCTCTTAAAAACCGATACTCTTCGAGCGTCGATGAGGATCAACTGGTAAGTCTAAATAGCATTGCAGAAAGATGTACTTTGAAGGAGACTAAAGAAGACTTCTATGCAGCAATAGTGATATTTTTTATTTTCCTTTGACAGGTATGGATTTTTTGGGAAGAAAATCAAAGATTTATTCGGAAACATTTTCGGACCCGAACTTAGTGGATTAGTCGGTCTTAAGGAGCCACGAGATCATGGAGTTCCTTATTCACTAACCGAAGAATTCACTAGTGTTTATAGAATGCACGCGCTTCTACCTGAGGAGATTGTTCTCCGAAAACTCAAGCCTGCAACAGGCGCGAACAAATCTCTTCCAATACATGAAAAGTATACTCCCTCTCGATTATTCTAGTTTTGCCCTAACATTTAAGAAGTTTTTATGTTTCTTCTTGCATTGCGCGTAAAGCAAAAACATGTAAACAATAAGATTGCGTATATGTTTTTTAGGGTGCCAATGGCAGAACTTATAGGAAAGCAAGGGGAAAAAAGATTGTCAAAAATAGGAATGGAGCAAATGTTACTGTCAATGGGTCATCAATCATGCGGTGCAGTTGCTTTATGGAACTTTCCTTCATGGCTAAGAAACCTCATTTCACATGATATTGATGGAGAAGAAAGACCTGATCCAGTTGACATGGCTACCATGGAAGGTAGCGTAATGCAGTACCTTTTGCAAGCATGCTTTTGTAGTTTATATCTTTATATTAGGATTAACTTGTTCTAAAACGATGAATCTTGTTCTATCAGTTTATAGAGATAGAGAAAGGGGAGTTCCGAGGTATAATGAATTCAGAAGAAACTTATTGATGATTCCGATTAGTAAGTGGGAAAATTTAACCGATGATGTAGAAGTTATTGAAGGTCTCAAAGAAATATATGATAATGATGTTGAGAAGTTGGACTTGATTATCGGTCTTCATGCAGAGAAGAAGATAAAAGGATTCGCTATTAGTGAAACCGCTTTCTTTATCTTTGTGATAATGGCTTCAAGGTAAGTTTTCAGCTATTAAAATTTGATCATTTTGATTTCGAATCTCATGCTTTTTATGTGGTGTTTAGGAGGCTAGAAGCTGACCGTTTCTTCACAACGAATTTCAATGCGAAAACATACACAAATGAAGGGCTTGAATGGGTGAACAAAACAGAAAATTTGAAGGATGTTATTGATAGACACTTCCCTAGAATGACTGAAAATATGATGTCAAGCTCAAGTGCATTTTCTGTGTGGGATGCTAAACCAGATCCTAAGAAATTGTTACCAATATATTTGAGATAAGCCAAACAAAAATAATGTTTGATTTCTTGTGTAACTAAGTCACACCTTAATAAAGCCTTTCAGAAAGTTTTCTTTGTATTTATGTCTTTTAACTAGAGCGAAGTTTATTGCTCCGTAGCCCATTTTACAAGGTAGACTTTTTTTGTTACAATTCAAACCCGTTCTTTCTAATACCTGAAAAGCACAAAATACAGAAACTTAAGCATTGTTGGAACAATTAATGATAATACATGAATGTTGGAACCTTCGCCAAAGCAAGTGTCAAAATTTCAGTTGGGATGAAGTTGAAAAAACTCCTCAAGTCTCATATTAGACAACTTTCACTTCTTTTAAAGGTTTATATAGGGGAGGATGGTTAGAGTTTAAGGGTTTATATAGTGCAATCTATTCGGCTTAGCTCGAGTGTTTTTGACACTGAAGTTTGGAGTCACCTCGTCAATCAGTTGTGCTTTTGAGTCTAAGATTTTGGAAGCATTGGTAATGGTAAAGATGTGCACTTGATACTCTCCAGTGAAAAACCCACCACTTCATTTGTCTGCTGCCTTATGTTATTTGACTAAGTATAGGGTTTTAGAAGTGGCGTCACCTCTTTCCGACCGAAACCTCCCACTCAAAAGACCATTCCTCCATTTCAATCTTTTCTCCCACATTTTAATTCATCCAACCATACACCTTACTAACGGCCAAATAATTTGGACCGTCGGATCCAAATCCAAAACTTCACTATATGTTGACATCTTCAGCAAATTAACAAATTACACTAAAACTTCTGAGTTCTTCATTTTTCTTTTCTTTATGCTCTCGATTCACCAGAAGCTCATCTTCTTCCCCTTTATGATCGTCGAATTTTTCAAGTATTTCTTGAATTCTCTCAAGAGTACTCGCATAATTTTTCCTCTACATGGTATATATTCAAACAAGTGGTCAAAAACTACAAGGTATTTTCAACATATTATCAAACCAAAATTACTCTTAGTTTTGTTTGTAAACAAGTTTCAATAAATAACAAACAACAGACACGCACAACTACAGAACAACAACAAACAAACAGTAGTATTGATCTGGGGACAAACATTAGATGCCAATGGAGTATTATCCTCTAAAGAGAAAACCAAATGAGGCCATCAGGGATTTGAGAGAGAATACTCGTATTGATTCCCTGTAATGCACTCAGCAAAATTCTTTGGACAACTCTGGCACCTCTTAGAATGATATACAGTAGCACCATAACAGTTTACATTTTGAAACTCACAAAAACTACATAATCAAGAGTGAATACCAAACAGAAGCTTGCAAACCGCAAAAGTCGACTTTTGATATGAAGAAACAATCCGAAAAGCTCATTTGTCTTTTAGGAAAACCTGCACTCTCCAACTTGTGGTGATAAGCACAACCCTCTTAATCAGCTTTTACTTTTAGAAGCCTTGTATAGGAACAATAAATATGAAATCCAACAAATGTTTCCTACTTCCCCTTTACAACTTTGCTCTTCAGGGAGGGGTTATCTTCCAGACACGAATAAAAGCATCCTCGCCTGAGCTAACCAGACTATATTCATCAGTGAATACTAACCCATAAACCCCGCCTAAGTGAGCGCCCTTTATGGTATTTCTACTGGACACGGGTTGGTCAATTTCATATACAATAACGCATGTGTCAAGAGATCCTGTAGCAATCCTACTGCTATCAGGAGACCAAGCAAGACAGTTTATCCGTGCAGTATGGTACAGCATGTTCTTGAGCTTCACCTGTACAATCATATATAAGCAATTGAGCACATTACGGATAGAAAGCATTAATTTTAAACATAATACTTTGGTTGTTTCGGGGCCAGTTTGGTTTGAAAAGTGTTTCACTTTCCTTTTCCATTTCTATTTTAGTTGCCAAGTGGATTCATGTTTTCACTTTGTTTCCTGTTTCTGGTTTGTAGTGTTTCAGAACAGAATGCAAAGTGAAAACAAAGGAAGTGTTTTGCAATTAAAAATGAAAACAATAAATGAAAAAAATGTTCTTATATCAAATTGACTCTAAAGGCAGTACTCACATCTCGGGTGGCACGGTCCCAAACAACAGCTTCTCGATTGACATCCCCGGATGCAAACATTGAAAAATCTGGAGAATACCGTATAACACTAACAGCACCCCTATGTTTCTCAAGGACAGCCTCTTCAACCAGTGTATCACCAGAAATAGAATATAAGTGCAGTTTACCATCCTGCCCACCAATAATGGCTTCACTTCCATCAGGAGAGACAATGGATGCCGAAACAGTAAATTCAAGATTAATGGTTGACACAACTTTTGTACCACGCAGCATGACAACTCCTGAATCAATTGAAACTAGAACCAGTTCGGGAGATGAAAGTGCAATGCTAAAATCCTTTGGTTGAGTTCCTATATCAATGGCTTCAGCATCTCCACACTGATCCCCATGTAAAGAAATCCTCTGAATCTGGTTGTCAGGAGAGAAAAGAAATGATGGAGTAAGAGGAAGAAACCATTAGTTTTACATGATTTTAAAATGTGTAGAGACCTTGAAATTTGGCCCACGCCTCACATTGATTGAACGGTTAACAGTTTTCTAAAAGAAATCATGAGAATATAACACAAAACATGGACAAGGGTTTCTTAAGTACCTGCCACAGAACAATAGGCTAAAAAATAGAAACTGATCAGTGAAACATGAATATTCTTTCCGCGTAATATCAAGACATACGTTAAAACCTCAGTTATATAATGAGTGCAAGAATATTCGGGACTATAAAGGTTTAGCGAAATGCCTTGTGGAAATTTCTACCAAACTTTTCAACTGATATGTACTTACATGGATAACACCGAATAAAGGATTTATTTTATCACATACAGAGAACAAATGTAATACTTACATGCAAATGACAAGCAAGGTTGATTTGTTTTTTTATCCAAATCGTATTGGAGGAAGTGGAAATAAAATAAAATGTAATGATTATTATCACTCTCATATCTGACAAAGAATCTTAGTAAAACACTCACCTTATTATCAAACCCAGATGTAACAATCTCTTCTTCTGCAGCTGCTAAGGATTTGATTTGAGAATTCTCCTTCCTTTGTAATTTACCACTATATCCAATCCCTTGAATCCACTTAACTACTAACCCATCATAACTACAAGAGAGGAGCACTCTAGGGTTACTTCTAAGAATGGTTAATGAGGAAACATTTTTCATGTGTCCTGAAAATGATGTTGGGGCTTTATCAAGATCACTTGCAAAATAAATAGATATTGTCCCACCAAGAGAAACAGTGACAAGATAATCGTTCAACCATAGGCACCCTACTAGCATGTCTTCAATTCCGCCAGAGCTTGGAGAAATCAATGTTTTCTTCACCTTCCCAATATTATCCTCAGATATGTCCCACACTTTTGCAGACTTGTCAGCAGATACGGTCAGCACCTAAAGATAACATTATAATTGAAGATCAGATGTCTTACAGGGATGAAAGTAAAGAGACTGCACAAAAATGACAAGTAGAAAGAAATGCAAAGGGGGGAAATAACAATTCTGCAAATACAAAGAATTTAACATCAAACTCAAAAGTAAACTTGCATAAAAGCTTTGCTGATTGAACTGGGCAAACTATATATAATAACATTTAGACGGCTATACCAAACATCTCCGAAAACTAGCAGTCAAAACATGAATGTTCAGCAAGTAAAATTATAAATATCTATTCTTTTTTAACTTTCAAAAAGGTCTAAAATAATGTTTACAAAAAAAAAAAGTCATCTAGACTTGAAAGCAAATCTTCCCAAAAAGACCAGATAACAAACAAAACAAGCCATAAGGCAATGAAGCACGGATACGCTAAAATCTCTACCGAATTACATACCGATACGCCGCAATACGTCATCAATATGTATCGAAGGAGTATCCGAATTTTTATTTAAAAGCAACAAAAATTCTGATATGGCGTGATACAGTGGCGACGCGCTGCGATACGCCGTTGACAGCATGATGCATGGTTCTTCTTCTCCTCTTCTTTAAAAGCTTTCTCTGAAGCTTCTTGTGCGACCTAGCACTTCATTTTCTTGTGAAAGGAATTGGAGTATCTATTCATTCATTCATTCTTTAAAAAGAAATAAATAGAATCCTAAAAGGGCTGAAGACTTGGTCTATGTGCATAAATTTAGGCTTTTGGGTAAGAAAAGTGAAGATGCATGGGACATTAGTGGAGATGCATGGGAAAGTTTTGACAGTGTTGGAGCTCTTCAAGTCTCATCATTGTCTTTTGATGAACCAGATATGGAAGTCGCTCTATTTACTTATGATGTTGAAGGAGGAGACGGCATCAATACTACTTCAATATCTTAGTTTAGATTTAATATTTAGTAATGTGCTAAAAGTTGTGTTTTGAGTTTGGTTTTTGTTAGACAATGATTTAACTAATGTCTAATTTTAATTTTTATATATGCTCGATTAAACATTTTGTATCCTATATTATTCAATGAGTGACATGTTATCGTATCGGACAAGCATCCTATCCGATACCCATATTGTGTCCGTTCTTCACTTTTTCATCACTTACAAAGAAAACTAAATACATGTATGCACCATCATTTGCATTCCTTAGCTAGCAAGAGAACTAAATACAAAAACTTTTTTGCAACAAATTTGCATTCCTTAGTTCTTAAAACTTGTATGCAACATAATTTTCATTCAAAATGTTACTGCAGTAAGGTAATTACTCCCTCCGTTCTTTTTGAAGTGTCGTTTTAGAAGAATATTTTTGTTTCTATTTAAGTGTCGTTTTTATAGTTTAATGTTATCATTTGTCAATTATATCCCTACTTTCTCAATAACTCCACTTCACATTTTCCATAAAATTAGTTATTTTCTCAATTAATTATTGGAAAAAGAGAGATGGTGTATGATTGAATTTATTTGGAAAGAGAAAATAAATGGGGGTATAATAGGAAAAATAACTCTAATAATCCACTATCTTGGTTGAAGAGCTTTATGTTAAAATGACACTTAAAAAGAAACGGAGGGAGTAATAATTATAGGAAACAAGTTGTTACTACAGGCCTTTTCTTCATCACATTTTTCTAAGTTTATAGCAGTGTGTTAACTTCTAAATGAAAAAAACAAGTTAAGTGATCAACATCATATATTGAAAAGGAGATGGAGAGAGACAAAGACTGGAAAATGGGATCAATACATGATGAGACCTGCCATAATCAATAAAAAATACGTGTAAGTCTTAAGTTAGCTTACTTGTAAGTCTTAAGTTAGCTTACTTGTTTTCCATCAGTACTCCAGCTAACAGCATAAATACTGCCAGTATGGCCACCTTCAGAAGACAACTCCCCAATCTTCTCTCCAGTCTTTCCATCGAATATGATACCCTTTTTGTCAGAACTTACAGTTAAAAATTTATTGCCATCTGGAGAATATCTTACACAATTGACAAAATTCGAATGATCCCTATACATAAACAAATTATTATTACGATATCAGTCATTTATCAAGACTAATGTAATAGGCAGAAAGGACCAAAGATAAGAACAACCCAAAATAGATTAATTTACCCCTAAAAAATGCACGGAAAGTTATTGGATACAGGGCAATAGAATGAGAGCAAAATATAATCCGTGTACGTATGCAAGAAAATTAATCATTGTCTAAAAAGAGCAGATGACAAAGAATAATGTAGAATAGCATACCTGTGAGATTGCTTAAATCTAAATGGCGGTCCTTCATAAAAATTAACCAGAAAATCCTCTCCACAGGTGACAATCCGAAAAGGCCTTGTAGGTTTATACGCACAACTCAAAACCCGCCTTGAGTGCCCATCAAATTCACCAACATTAGTCCCAGAATCCCACCTATCCATTGCAGAATTTGATCATTCAGTAAACATCACCAACCAAAACATTAACTCAAACATAGATAGCAAAAGCATCAAAAACAGATATAAGTAGTGATAAATGAATCCCTAATTATAGTAAATTGAAGTCAAA